TGGTAGTATCATTCTGAGGGTTCTGAAATTCGTGTTCCAAGCATTAGATAGGTTGGTTCATTTAATTTTCATAGTCCTCTTGCAGAGGGTGGAAGGCTGTTTCCATATTACATATAAGACAAGTCAAATCCATGGAAACTGTTGAAGGCCACATAGCTTGTGGCTGAGCATGCACTAGGTGACTATATGGGGATGGCTCAGCTCTCCAAGAGCTCATGCACAGCAAGCATTGCCCCCAGGGACTGGTCTCTACCTCTCCCAGCTGTGGTCCCTCATACTCTCTGAATCATCCCTCCTTCCCTTGTCATAAGCTTTGGCCCTACAGGTCCTGTTCATTTCCTGGCTTTTGCAAGGCTGTCACCTACCATTCTTCTCTTAGGTATGAACTTTCAACTTTGAAACTGTTAGCATTGTGGGCCTACCAAATAGCTCAGTGGATTTAGGTGCCTGCAAGCAGGCACAGGGGCTGGGAGTTCTATCCCCAGGCCTGCCATACCAGTCCTGCCCCCAGGGTATGCTGAGCTGGCTGGGGATTGAGACTGGGCATGGTGGCGCGCCTGTAATCCCAGCTCTTAGGAGGCTGTAAACAGGTGGATCACTATGAGTTGGTCTAGTAGTGAGATTCTGAACACCCTGTAGACCCTTCCCTAACGTACAAAAAGAAGAAAAAGGAAAAGAAACTGTTAGTATTGCAATTCAAATTGCTAGGTAGTCCTAAAGAGCTGTGGTGAGTTTATTTGGTCTTAAAACTTGCATCGTTCCAGGCGTTGAGCCTGCTGTCCCACTCATGACTGTAGATGGAAAGCACACTGCTGTATGGTTGGAGAGGAAGGTAGATTTATCTGAATGTGTATTAGGCAACTGTGTTTTTTGTTGTTTATTCATTTATTTTTGATATGGGGGATGGAACTCAAGACCTTATGCTTTGCTAAGCAGACATTTATGTCACAGAACTATATCCCCAAACCCTGTTGTTGGGGCCGGGGAGATGGCTCAGTAGGATAAGCGCTTGACTGGCACATGAAAGGATCTGAGTTCAATCCCCAGTTCTGCCAAAAAAAAAAAAAAAAAAGAACCCAAAAAACAAAAAAACCCAAACCCTGTTGTTAATTCATTCAGCATGGGCCAGAAGGTTTGCACAGAGTGGGGATTGAGTAGGTTATAGTCAGCACCTTAGAGAACAACATTGTAATCATAGCTACTTCTGTCTTGAAGACATTAGTTGGTTGTCTTTCTCAGCATCTGCGAAGTTAAGCCTGAAAGGGTGTCTGTCCATTCAATGTAGTTGTTACACCTGCCTGAAAAGATTGCCAGAAAGTTACTGCTTTTTGTTCCACAGAAGCCCTTTTGGCCCCTGTCCCAAGGCCCCTGAGTTCTTGCCCTTCTCTTCCTTCCCTAGGCACCAAGGATTTTTGGGTAGTTCTTTTTTTCTTTGGTGGTACCAGGGATTGAACTCATGACCTTGCACTTGCCAGGCAAGCACTTATTCCACTGAGCTATCTCCCCAGCCCGTTTTTTTTTTTTTTTTATATTTTTTAAAATGAAAAAGTCATTTCTACAAGGTAGGGTTGCATTCTTTTTTTTTTTTTTTTTTTTTTTTTTATTCAGGGTCTCACTCTAGTTCAGACTCCTCCTGTCTCAGCCTCCCTAGTGCTGGGATTACAGGCATGTGTCACCATGCCTTGTTCTGGGGCTGGCAGGCATGCCATATTGGGGATCAAACTCGGGACCTTGCGCTTGCCAGGCAGGCCCTTATGCCACTGAGCTATCTCCCCAGCCCTTTTGAATGGTTCTGTCATTACGTAAGATTTATAAGGGACTAAGTTTCCCAGGTGAGATTGGATTTTTAATTTTTTTACTTTTTATTTGTTTATTTATTTTTGGTTTTTACTGTACTGGGGACTGAACTCAGGACCTTGTACTTACCATGCAGGCACTTATGCCACTGAGCTATCTTCCCCAGCCCCCCCCTTTTTTTTTTACTTTTTGTCTTTTTTATTTTTTTAACTTAGTGGGGGGGGGTCTACAGGGTCTTATGACATAGATGGGACTTGTAGTGATCCTCCTGTTTTCAGCCTCTCAAATGCTAAAATTAAAGGCGTGCACCACCACACCAGGACTCAATTGCGGTCTAAGGGTGCCCCAGGGGCCAGGCCTGCATGGCAAGTCAGGGATCAAACCCTTTCCCCTGTATCTGCCTAAGCAGGCACTTTAGTCTGCTGAGCTATTTGGTCGCTAGCTATTTGGTCATCCCTACTTTCTGTCTTTTTGAGACAGGGTCTTGCTATGCAGTTCAGGCTGGCCTTGCGCTCACTTTGTAGTCCAGGCTGGTCTTGAACTTGCAGAGATCCTCCACCCCAGCAAGCCCTGGGATTAAAGTTACCACCAGGGCTTTGGAATTTGTCTTTCTTTTCTTTTAAATGTGTTTAGTTCGGGGTCTACAGGGTCTCACTACATAGATTGGACTCCTAGTGATCCTCCTGTTTACAGCCTCCCAAGTGCTGGGATTACAGGCCTGCACCGCCATGCCCAGTCTACAGTGCCAGGGCCGGCACTGTAGGCCCAAGGTTCGAACCCCCAGCCCCTGCCTCTGCCAAAGCAGGCATTTTAATCTGCTGAGCTATTTGGCAGGCCCTAAGATTGGAATTTATGATCCTCCTGCTTCAGCCTAAATTCTGGGATTGTAGATGTGCGTTACTGTGTTCTGCTCAAACACCAAGATTTTACATCTTTTCCTATAGCATTTTTGGGACACTGGCTAATATTTATTGTCTTGTTTCAACCTTCAACGTGTTTCTTTTGGCTTGTATCACCTGAGGATACTTGTCCCGTGCTTGTGCCATGGGGTGGTTCAGAGGCACCTAGCTGCTAGCAGTGAGACATGAATCATGGCCCCATTGTGAATGTGTTAAGCCTTTAAAGATGTAATCAGCCAGATGAGGGTGCTAAGGGATATTTCCCAAAGATAGTCAAATCTTAAATTTTATCTTTGGCTAGGCGTGGTGGCACATGCCTGTAATCCCAGCACTTGGGAGGCAGAGGCAAGAGTATCACTGTAAATTTAAGGCCAGACCATACTACTTAGTGAGTTCAAGGCCAGCCTGAACTGCATAATGGGGCTCATTCCCTGCCCTTCCCCCCAAAAAAATAAAAGAAAAAAATTGAAATCTTCTTTGGGAGTGGAGAGAATTCTTCAGTCTTAACAAGGTTATTTGAAAATTGCAAGAATGCTCTGTATCTGCCTGTACTCTTTTTCAGTCTAGGCTGCCATAGAAAGTATAAGGACATTGACAGCTTTTTCTTACATCTGTAGTTGAAACCCTAACACCAGATAGTAACTGCTCCAAGTCTGTCAAATGCAGTTTTTACAGCATCCATTCATTGATTTGTTCATTAATTCGTTCATTCAGAGACAGCTTTTGATTTGTAGTTCGGGGACTCCCTAGTACCTGCTGGTGATCCCTCTGTTTCAGCCTCCTGAATTCTGGGATCACAGGTGTAGGACACCACATCTAGGGTGCTTGGTTGGTTGGTTTGTTCCTTCCTCTTCTGGTATTTTTTTCCCCCCTGTACCAGGGATTGAATTCAGGACCCTGCACTTGCCAGGCAAGTGCTTATTCTACTAAGCTATCTCCCCAGGCTCTGTTCCTCCCTCTTCTTGCCTTTCCCTTTCCCTTTCCCTTTCGCTTTCCCTTTGCCTTTCTCTCTCCTTCCTTCCTTTTTTTTCTTTTGCTTCTTTTTGGTTCTGGGAATTGGATTTAGTACCTAATGCATTCTAAGTACTGTACATATTTTACTTGCAAGCTGGCAGGCTATTCAGACATAGTGGTACATGCCTATAATTCTTTTTTTTTTGGTACTGGGGATCAGACTCTAGATTGCATGCCAGGCAGGCACTTTAGCCACTGAGCTATCTCCCCGACATGCCTGTAATTCCAGTATTGGGAGACTAAAACAGGAGGATCAAAAGTTTGAGCCTGCTCTGTGCTATGTAGTGAGACCATGTCTCAGAAACAAACCAAGGGGCTGGAGAGATGGCTCAGAATAAGCACTTGCCTGGCAAATGCAAGGACCTGAGTTCAATCCCTGGTTCCACACACACACACACACACACACACACAAAGAAAACAAAAGAAACAAACCAAAAAAAAAGAAAGAAAGAAAAAGAAACCAAAATAAAGAGAAGGAAAAAAACAAGTAGAAAAGGAAGAAGAAAGTAAAAATCATCCAAGTATGGATGTGAGGTCAGATGTAACTTCTAGCAAGCAGCTGTTTCTTTTTTATTGATTGATTTATTGATTGATTTTGCAATACTGGGGATTGAACTCAGAACCCTGCAAGCGCTTAATTTATTGCGCTATCTCCCTGGCCCCAGCTGTTTTTCGTTCTTTCTTTTTTTAATTTTAGGGAAGGGTCTACAGGGTGTTCAGGGTCTCACTACTAGATCGGATTGGTAGTGATCCGCCTGTTTACAGACTCCCAAGAGCTGGGATTACAGGTAGGCACCACCACGCCCAGTCTCAAGTACCATTTTATCAGGCCCCGGGGGTGGGGCCATAGTGGCAGGCCTGGGGATAGAACCTCTGGCCCCTGCTTGTAGGCACCTTAATCCCCTGATCCATTTGGCTGGTCCAAAGCTGCTATTTCCATTTTAATGGTGTTTCTTTTTTTTTTTTTTTTTTTTTTTCTAGAACCGGGGATTGAACTCAGGCCCTTGTGCTTGCCTGGGAAGCACTTATTCCACTGAGCCATCTCCCCAACCCTGGTGTTTCTATTTAGGGTTGTTGAGTGCCTTGTGTATCCTGCTGTGTTGATGGGCCTCTTGGTGAGGTGATAAAATGAACACATGTATAAAATCTTTGGGGGCCAGGGAGAGAGAGCTCAGTGGCATAAGTGCCTGCCTGGCAAGTGCAAGGTCCAGAGTTTGATCCCTGGTACTGCTGAAATAAAATAAAATGAAATGAAATGCTTGGAACTAAACAGATTTTCTGATCTTATAGATAGTTGAAGTATTGGTAACATCAAGGAAATCTGTCACAGTTTGAAAAGTTAAGCAAAAGTTTGATTTCCAGACACTACAGAAAAAAGTGAAAATGGTAAGTTCTTTTCTTTGATTGCAGATACTATTTCTTCATTTATGTACAAAGATGTTTGTAGCAGTTCCCCAAAGCATTTGATTGTGACCATTTTCTATTGGAGTTTTTGAATTAAAAAGTAATATATGTCTCAGTAATTCAAATGCAGTAGTCCCTCCTTATCCGTGTTTTCGCTTCCCGCGGTTTCAGTTACTTGCGGTCCACCGCAGTCTGGAAATATTAAGTGGAAATTCCAGAAATAAGCAATTGATAAATTGTAAATTGCGCCCGGTCCCCATGCCTGCGCCATTCACCTCACTTCATCTCATCACGTAGGCATTGTACCATCACCACTTCACCACGAGAGGAAGAAGGGTGAGTACCTGCACTAAGGTATTTTGAGAGACCACGTCCACATGGACTTTATTCAGGCACTGTTGTAATTGCTCTATTACTAGTAATTCTTAATCTCATACTTGCCTCACTTAGATTAAAATTTACACACATCTGTATGTTGATGAAAGGCATAGTAGATACTGGGTTCAGCACTGTCCACGGTTTCTGGCATCCGCCGGGGTCTTAGAGTGTATCCCCGCGCATAAGGGGGGACTACTGTGGTGTAGAGAGATGAGGTGCCCTGTCCCTTACCTGCTTGGAGGAGAGAACAGTTTACTTGTCCAGGTCCTCAGCCCTTTAGCTGTGCTTGTCTAGTCTTACGCACATGGACGATAGAGAGCAGATGGGCCATGCATCCTAAATGATGAGTGGTGGGTTGCCTGGTGTCTTGGCCTCATTTTTAGCTTAGTTCTCACGTTTCCAGCGTCCAATGCGGATTTTTGTGAATGATGACCGCCATGTGATGGCAAAGCATTCTTCGGTGTATCCGACACAAGAGGAGCTGGAGGCAGTGCAGAACATGGTGTCCCACACGGAACGGGCTCTCAAAGCTGTGTCCGACTGGATTGACGAGCAGGAGAAGGGCAACAGTGAGCAGGCCGAGTCAGACAGCATGGATGTGCCTGCAGACGATGAGAGCAAAGAAGGGGCCGGGTAGGTTCGTGGCATTGTGCTCAGAATCTGTTTCCTAAGAAACGCCTCCTTGCTGGCTTTTGGCTAGACCAGCTCCCTACTGAGCCAGCCTGTGTATGCCCTTCAGGGAACAGAAGGCGGAACACATGACCAGGACCCTTCGGGGCGTGATGCGGGTCGGCCTGGTGGCAAAGGGTCTTCTGCTCAAGGGGGACTTGGATCTAGAGCTGGTGCTGCTATGTAAGGAGAAGCCCACAACTGCCCTTCTGGACAAGGTGGCTGACAACCTGGCCATCCAGCTTGCTGTGAGTGTGATTGGGCAGTGGCGGGGAAGGGAGTGGGGACAGAGTTTGTGGAGTACATGAGGCAGAGGAAGGAAGGACAAGCAAGTGCTGTGTTTCAGGAAGCAGGTGGCCCCTTGAATCTGCTCTGGGGATACCTTTTTAGTAAGAGATAGGTGGGATACCACAGCCACCGAGGGCCTGGGGGAGTCAAGCAGACATTCTGCCAGCTGTGAGGGCTGCACAAGACCAAGAACATTTGAGTTGGGGGTGTCATTCCAGGTCCTAAGGAGGAGTGGATGGTGTTAAGAATTAACTCTTCCTCTTGAGCCAGACCTGGAGATAGATAGATAGATTGGTTGGTTGGTTGATTGATTCTTTTTCTTATACTTGCAATGTGCTGCTAAGCTATATCCCCAGCACCACAGAACTCTTCTTTTTCTTGAGATTGAACTCAGAACTATCACACTAAGCCATACATCCCCAACGTGCCTTTATTTTTTTCTTCTTAAATTTTTAGACAGGATTTTGTTGAGTTGCCCAGGCTGATCTCAAACTTTCAGTCCTCCCACCTCAGCCTCCCAAGAGTGCTGGTATTACAAGCATGTGCCAGCACCCCCAGCTAACACCATTTTTTTTGGGGGGGGCACTTGCTTAAAGGTTTTGTGTTAGTGACAGCCTGTGACATTGGTTGAGCGCTTAACTATAGCAGGAACTGTTCTCTTGAGTATGCTGGCAGTGGGCCTGAGTGCCATAGTCCAGCATCTGAACAACTGGTCCCAGCCTGCAGCCTGGGAGGCCAGAGGGAGTGGTGGAACCCAACTGTACCCCTGCTGTGTGGTCTGCTTCTGTTGCCTGGTACTCACCAAAGACCTAACTACAAAAGAGGGAATTTTAAGTGACTTTTTCTCTTTCGGAACCAGTGATTGAACTCAGGTTAAATGACTTTATTTTATTTTTATTTTTATTTTTTTGTGGAACTGGGGATTCAACTCAGGCCCTTGCGCTTGCCAGGGAAGCACTTATTTCACTAAGCCATCTCCCCGACCCCTAAATGACTTTAAATCTTGTTTCCTTGAGAAGAAAAATGTTCTTGTATAAACACATATTTGTCTCATAGGGCTCATCATTTGTGGTTTAGGACAAAGGACTGCATAGTATGTTAGAAACTACGGAGTAGGGCCAGCGAGATAGCTCAGCGGACTGAAGTGCCTGTTTAGGGGCGTGCAGGGACTACAGTTCTGTTGCCCTGTGTGTGCGTGCTAGCCCTGCCCCCAGGGCAGGCTGAGCTGGCCAGAGTCCTAATCCCAGCACTGGGGAGGCTGAAAGCAGGAGGATCACAAGTCTGAGCGTACTGAGACCTTGCAACAACCAAATACATAAAAAAAAAAAAAAAAAACAAAACTGTTGAGCAGCAACTAACAGTGATGCCCTAAACTGTCTTCCAGTGATGACATTGAAATTTTTTGTTTTTGGTACCAGGATCGAACTAGGGACCTTGCACTTGCTAGGAAGGCGCTTATTCTGCTGAGCTATCTCTCGGCCCTGAAATTATATCCTTGTTTTTAAAAATGTCTAAAGTGAAGCAGATCATTATAAATATTTGTGACAAGCCACTTTTTTTTTTTTTTTTTTTTTCTGGCTTCAGTGCGGAAATCAGGTCCAGTGCCTCCCACATGCTCATCACAAGCCCACCATCAAGCTATAGCCCCGTACGCCCCCAGCCTAGTAATCATTCCATAAACAGAAATAACAGACAGGGGCTGGGTTGTCCTTCCATGGTAGGGTGTGTGATATACATGTGCTTAGCATGTACTAGGGTCAGGGTTCCATGTACTTTTTTTTTTTTTTTCTTTTTCATACCAGGAATCAAACTTGGGACACTGTGCTTGCCAGATAGGCGAGGCGCTCATGCCGCTGAGCCATGTCTCTGGCCCTGAGTTCCATTTTTATTTTAAAGGGTTGGGGGGCAGAAGCAGGACAGAATACCTGTCACTGAAAAATGCTTAGGCATGAGCCAGGCTTGGCACGTTTGTAATCCTAGCACTCAGGAGGCTGAACAGGAGGATTGTTTGATGTCAGTCTGGGCTACATAGTGTTCAAGTCTAGACTGGACTGTGTAGTGGGACCCTGTCTCAAAACAAAACAAAGCAAACAGTGGAGGCAGGAGGACTGCAGATTGGAGCTTGGCCTGGGGAATGTAGTGACTCTTAATCTCACAAGTAAATAAAAAGGTTAGAGATGTGGCTCTGTGGGTATAATTCTCAGTTTCATAAAGTGAAAAAAATCACTTCAGTGGTTTAGTTTCAGTGAAAAAATCACTGCAGTGTCCCTCTTTTCTCCATACACACAGTGGTTCATCTGCACATAAAAGAAGGGTGGTGTGTTCCCCACACTGGGGTTAGAGACAGCACTGTTGCGTGCTTTGTAATGTACAGAGTAGCTGCCTAGCCAAGTTATGTGGCCCAGAAAATTGACTGTGCCGGTGTTGAAAAATCCTAATTTAGCTGAATATGGTGATGCATGTGTCTGGTCTCGGCACTCAGGAGGCTAAGGCAAAATCACTAACAGTTTGAGCCCAGCCTGAACTACATAGTCAGTTCAAGGCTGGCCTGAACTAAATAGTGAGACCTTGTCTCAAAAAACAAAACAAGAAAAATCCTAACTTACATTTTCAGTGCATTTGTTCTCTCTACTATGTAACAGTAAGGAGATTTTGTTCCTTTAGCACACAGTAAAACCTTGAGTTTGTCACTAGTCACACAAACTAGTGTAAAGAAGAAAGTCACACATGTGAGCTGCCCTGCAGGTTTGCAGCAGTGAATACCTTTCTGTCCATCAAAAGGACACAGAGCTTTTCATTGTGGGTGCTTATATCCACGCTATCTGGACTGCGTGGTGCCCTAAATTGTCTTCGTGCAGTGCCTGGTTATAGTGCCCCACACAGCCTTTTGCTGTGGGCATGTTAAGGTCCATTCTGCAAATCAGCAACCTCAGCCTTCTTTTTTGTTTGCACAGGAACTGAACTAAGGACCTTTGGGCTGGCCAAATAGCTCAGTGGATTAAAGCACCTGCTTAGTGAGACACAGGGGCTGGGAGTTTGATCCCCAGGCCTGCCATGCCAGCCCTGCTCCTGGGGCACGCTGAGACGGGATTGAGACTGTGTGTGGTTGCTCAGGCCTGTAATCCCAGAACTTGGAAGGCTATAAACAGGATCACTACGAGTCTGATCTATGCAGTGAGAACCTGTACACCCTGTCCTCAAATTAAAAATCAAAAAACAGGGCTGGCGAGATGGCTCAGTGGTCTAAAGCACCTACTTGGAACAAGCTTGGCAAAGCACAGCTACCGCGGTTCGATCCCCCAGCACCACATGCCAGCCAGCCCGCCCCCTGGTGGGCTGAGCTGCCCCCCCCCCCCACACAATAAATGTTTAAAAAAAAAAAATCAAAAAACAAAACAAAAGTGAATTGAGGACCTTAACGTTTGCCAGGCAGGTGCTGTGCTGTGCCACTGAGCTACATCCCTGGCCCAGTACCCTCAATCTTGATGGGACTGATTGATCCAAAGTTACTACTCAGTGACAAAAGGAGGAATCACATGTGGATTGCTTCCCTGGTACTTAGCTCATTGCTTTTTTTTTTTTTTTTTAAACCAGGAATTGAACTCACAATCTTGCCAGACAGGTGCTGTGCCACTGAACTATATGCCTGGCCCTCATTGCATTTTTTGTTTCATGAATATGTTGCTGTGTCACCCAGGCTGGACTGGAATTTCTCCTGGGCTGAAGTGATGTCTTGCATCACTCAGCCTTTCAGGTAGCTGGGGCTACTGCCTCTGTACCTGGCTTGTGTGTTTTGTTTTTTTAACAGGGTCTCACTGTATAGTCAGAGCTGAATTTATCATCACTGTGTAGCCCAGGCTGGCCTCCGCTTCCCGAGTCCTTGGATGATAGGTGTGCAGCACCATGCCCAGCTTCAGCTCTTTTTTTGTTTCAAGACAGGGTCTCATTAAGTTACTAAGCTACCTGGACTGGACTCAGACTTGCAGTCCTCCTGCCCTCAGCTGCCTAGCTTGCATGGATAACAATGTGTACCGCTGTGCCTGGCCAAGAAAGCGTTTTGAAGCTGAGTTTTCTTTTTCAGGCTGTAACAGAAGACAAATATGAAATACTCCAGTCTGTGGATGATGCTGCAATTGTGATAAAAAACACAAAAGAGCCCCCACTGTCCTTGACCATTCACCTTACATCCCCTGTTGTCAGAGAAGAGATGGAGAAGATGCTAGCTGGAGGTAGGAGGCCGAAACAGGCCTGCAGAACTTTGAGACCAGGTGTTCCTTCTCTGTTCAAATGTGCTATTCAGTTTTGGATTGCTTTGTGTAGCAGGCACAGGTGTAATGTGTCCACCTTTACTCTCTGACTTAGTCTCCCAGTGTCCTTTAGCACTGGGGAGTTTGACCAAATGGTGGCACTAAAAGTGAGTAGCACTTTTTGTAGGAGAATTGCACCATTTTGTTCTGAATCCTAGAGTATCTCAAATGTAAGTGGTAACACTTGTTTCCTTCAAGCCACGCTGTGGCCTTGGAGAAGGGTGTTCCTGGTAACCTCATATCTGGTGATGGTTGACGATAGCCAGATGGTCAGGCAGGAGTGTCACATTAGAGTTGTGAGGTCAATCTGTGCTGCAGCAGTGTCGAAGGAGTCTCAGTTTATTCTCTGCCTGTCAGCTTGGCTGTCTGTGATGCCAGAGCCTGACACAAAGTATTGGATGGTATTTTAAACTGACTCTACACCTTGGATGCTGATTCTGTGTCCATAGTTTATCGTCTGCCCTGGCCTGGTGACATCTCTCCAGGGCAGATGGCTGAACAAGACACACTCTGGCCCTGCTGCACTGTAGGCTGAAGAGGCGCTCAGTGCTGTTAGTGATCACCTTTGGCTCTTCTGATACTGACAACCAAAGCCCTTCTAGTGTATCCACTTAGGGACGCTGGACCTTTGACCAACAGGACTCTCTCTGTCATGGGCTGGGGCTCGGGCAGTCCCGCCTAGTGGGCGGAGGTGATCCCCTTGCCGCAGATGCCTCGGGATGGCTGTTGTGGAAGCAGAGAGGGAGTTTATTTCTACTCCCCCTGCTTTTTGTTTTGTTTTTGCTATTGAAAATTCTAGTCTAGCTGTCATGGGGAGGAAGCAAGGAAACAGTTTTGTTAGAAGATAGGTTCCGCCTATCTTTCCCTCTCCCTCGTAGACTATTCCTTTTAGTATTACTTCCCACTTCTGATTTTGCTTTATGGGTTTTTTGGTTTGTTTGTTTATTTTTTGAGGAGGCCTCCAATTTTTCCAGTTTCCTCTCAGGGCAGAGTTCATTGTCTTCTAGCTTCTCCTTCCCTGCTCAAGGGTGGAGATGAATTCAGATTCTGGGAAACTCAGCTGCCTGGTGGGAAGCTGCCACATCCCCTTTCCACCTGACAGAAACCCCTTGGTCAAACTGTGCCTTGTCTTCTTATTCCATCCATGAATAGAAACGCTATCAGTCAACGACCCCCCGGACGTTCTGGACAGGCAGAAATGCCTTGCTGCCTTGGCGTCCCTCCGACACGCCAAGTGGTTCCAGGTTTGCATTTTGTTCTTCTCTTTGTCTTTTGGTAGCAAATTCCTAAGTTTAACTTGGCTAACTGACCATTAAGGTTTTGTAACATTGATGAGAGCTGTGCTGATCTTAGCACCTGCCACCGTGCAGCTGCTAACAGAGCACACCCCAAAAATTCAACACTTGAGGCTTGTGACAGTACAGGTGGGCTGCTGCTGCTTTGCGTTAAGAGTAACAGCTTCATGTTCATGTGATTAAGTCACTTGTGGCCACACGCTTGGCAGCACACACACTTAGCGTTTACACTTGGCAAAGCAGCACCATGAAACTTCATGTTAGCTTTGTGTTTATGGGGCAGCCGTTCTGAAAAGCATCTATGCTTTCTTTCTCTAGGCCAGGGCCAATGGGCTGAAGTCCTGTGTGATTGTTATCCGAGTCCTAAGGGACCTGTGCACGCGTGTGCCCACCTGGGGTCCTCTCAGAGGATGGGTAAGGCACCTTGCAGACAGTTATGGCCAGCAGGGTGGTGTGTGCAGAGGCCTCCTCAGCGTGGGTGGGCTTGGGCCTTGAGCTCTGGCCGGCCCGCACCTTTTGGACTGGACTGCCTGTTGGGCACTTGCTGCAGCCCTTCCCCTGGGTGGGCTAAGAGTTAGACAAGGACACTCACTGCATGAGGCAGCGACTGCAAATGCTCTTGGACAGCAAGCTAGGGCTCATCCAGCTCTCTTATTTCCATACTGTCCATATTGAAAATCAGTTTGGTGTCTACAAAATTGTCATTTGTTTGGTTATTTACTTTGAGACAGGGTTTCACAGTATAGTTCAGACTGACCCTGAACTAACTTACTATGGAGCCTAGGCTGGGCTTGAAATTTTCAGTGATCCTCCTCCCGGGTACTGGGATTACAGGCATGTGCCACTACGCCCAGAAAATGTTTGTTTTTTTAAAATTCATTCATTCATTCTTTCTTTCTTTCTTTCTTTCTTATTTATTTATTGGGTCTCTCCATGCAGTTCAGACTGGCCTTGAACTCACTTTGTAGCCCAAGCTGTCTCAGAATCGCAACAATCCTGCCTTAGCCTCCCAGGTGCTAGGATTACAGATGTGTACCACCACACCACCCAGCTTTCATTTTATGAAAGTACCTATGCCAAATCCTCAGTGTAGCCTCTTGGGCTGAACAGTATAAAAGGTTTTATGTCTGGTACTCTTAAGAAAAAATTGTCCAAACCATTTATCTGTAGCTAGCGGTAGAGCACTTTGCTCATTTGTGTTTAGTCCTGGCCCCTATTCCCAAGACCATAACAAAAGGGAGAATTTGGTCTGCCTCTGCCCCTGGTATCACCTTCAGCTTTGGTGTCATCACATGGCTGTGACTCCTGTGCCCAGCCCTACTGCCCACTGACAGAGCCTTATCACTTGGGCCATCCTTCAGCCACAGCCAGTTACTCACTGTCCCTCTTGCCTTCCAGCCCCTGGAGCTCCTGTGTGAGAAGTCCATCGGCACGGCCAACAGGCCAATGGGCGCTGGCGAGGCCCTGCGGAGAGTGTTGGAATGCCTGGCGTCAGGCATCGTGATGCCAGGTTGGCGCCTTGTGCTTTGCAAGTGGCAGGGAAACAGGGAAAGGACAGGGATCGGGCCCTGTGGCCCCTCTTCGCTGGTCCACTGACTGGGTTAGGGCAGCAGCAGCTCCATGTCCCCTAGGGTGAAGCATGTGACTACCCTCTTGCACCATCATATCCAGCCCTGTGCCAGGTCCCCAGCCGAGATTCGGAGGGCGGATCCGGGGGCAGTGGTGACCCACTCCCACGTGACTTTCTTGCTCTGAGACACAAGTGGATTATTTCTGTCAAGGGCTGGACGCTGAGTGGGTCACCGAGCTCAGCGTGTTTTCCAGAGCTGGGTGTGGATGGGGCGTGGGGTGTAATGCACCTGGTTCCCTCAGCCAGCACAACTCTACCGAGATGCTAAAGATAATCCTCTGCATATCTTCCTTGTTTCCTGCCTTCAGATGGTTCTGGCATTTATGACCCTTGTGAAAAAGAAGCCACTGATGCTATTGGGCATCTAGACAGACAGCAACGGGAAGATATCACACAGAGTGCGCAGGTATAGTTGTCGCCATTGCCAACGTGAGCCCGTACCCAGTCTGCACTCACTGGCTCCAGTCCCTTGACTGGGTATTCTCAGGGCAGGCCCTGGATCATAGACTCAGGCCGGGGACTGAAGGCGAAGGCACGGTGTGATACAGGGTGCCCCAATCTGGGCTTCTTCTTTCCCTTGGTGCCATGTGTGGTTGTCACTTGCCCCTTGCCTGCCTGAGTGCCATATTTGCACATAAGAGCAGCAGGGCAACATTTGCTATACATCCTGCTCTGGGGTCCTTCCCTGCAGGTCACCACCTGGCTCCGTGTGGCAACCAGGCCCCAGGTTGGGGTCTCCTGTATTTCTCTTGAGGGGGGTGGTCACAGGCTGGCCCTCCCCCGCAGCAAGGCTGGGCACGAGCGCTCAGGTCCTGCCCTGGCTGTTGGGGGACCCTCTTGCTAACGTAGGGGAAAATATTAGCAGCATCTCAGCTCCTGCCCTGGATCAGAAGGTATTAGTGAGCACACACACTGTGACCAGAGGTGCAGGCAGTTGATTCAGACTCTTCTTCCCCTTCTCCAGCATGCACTGCGGCTTGCTGCCTTTGGCCAGCTCCATAAAGTCCTGGGCATGGACCCCCTGCCTTCCAAGATGCCCAAAAAACCAAAGAATGA